GAAATACATCCAGAGAAACAGATGGCATTAATCTTTCTAGATGCAGAGAAAGCCTGTATCCTGGGAATTTTTGCTTCAAAAATTGGCACTATGGGATTGTGGATTACAGTTTTTGACAATGATCAGAGCGATATCAAAAAAGCAAGATCAACAGAACTGCTTGATTTCAACATATTGAGATCAAGAATGGGAGGAAGAATTCTGTTTTTCTTTGGGATGGTGAAGTACCTGGCATAGAAACACTAAGCCCATTAGGGAGAACAGCACTGCTTCTATAATTTCATTCTGCAAAAATGAATCCATTTCTGGGATTAGGGCTGGGCTGGGCAGGGTAGACATAAACACTCGAGGCAGAAGGGAAGAGAAGTTTATTGCATATCCTAGTCTGATGATATCAAATACCCAGTAATTTGATGTCATGGTCTCCCAGGAGTTATTGATGGAGGTGAAGAACAGGAGGCATATGTACCCTGAGAAGTCCTACTTGGGGCCTGAAGAATCCTTGGACTGATGGCCAAAGACTTAGGAGAGGATGAAGAGAGGTCTTTCTCTCCCCCTTTCTCCTCCCCTCATACCTGGAATAAAACGTTTTTTATCTTAAACACAGGAGTCTCTCTCTCTCTTTTTCTGGAGTGCTCCCTCTGGCTCTTTACCTCCCTCTCTGTCTCTGAAGAAGAAAAAGTGTGCTTGCACATAAAAGCTTATACCTGGAATAAAACATTAAAAGTCCCATGGGCCAATTTTCCTGCTCTCTCTGGCTCTTTCCCTCCCACTCCCTCCCAAGAGGAGGAGAGGGGGAGGAGCCCTCAGCCATTCAAGGGAAGGTTTTCTTTCTCTCCTATGAAGCAGGAAATAGGAGAGACTGGCCCAAAGGAGCTGAGATGTTAGAAACAAGAAGCAGGAAGCAGCACAGAGTGAGCTGTGGATTGAAGGCTTGCAGGGGCCGGATTCAGCCCACGGACTGTATGTTTGACACCCCAGACCTAGTTCCTTAAACTACAGTACTTTGAAAATTATATTTCTATCCTACTCTTCCTCCATAAAGATCAAGGAGGCATTCATGGTTCTTTTTCTTCCATATTTCCATGTATTTTCATAACATTTCTGTGAAGCAGGTCAGACCATCCCAAGGGCATCCAGTGAGTATCATTAACTGTGCCCAGCATTAACCACTATGAAATACTGGCTCTTGAACAAGGTTGACTTGGAAGCTTTTATACAGGTTAAGAATTATCACCTGTCTTTTTTTTGCCTATTGTTTCGAAAAGGCTTAATGATCTATCCATAGCTTTCCCCTCTTGGTGAGAGAAGGGTGGAGTACAGGCGACAAATTCTCCACTTGACATCCCTCAGGTCCCAAGTACTGGGCTTGACAAGGGCTTGAGTCATAACACAATCCTCTTTGCATGTTTCTACATAACAAGCCAAAGAATAAAGTAAGCAGAAATGTATTTTGATGTTAATAACATAGTATTGGAAAACTCATGATGGTCCTTTCCACAATTCCATTCTACGGAAACAACTACATTAGCTTCTAACATGGCATATTACACCCCTCTTCATAATTTGCCTGTGGCGTACAACCTTTCCAAATCCTACATCCACCATAAACCCTTAGGTTGCATTACTACACTAAGTTTCCAGCATGTTGCAGGAAGTCTTAACATCACAGTCACATGACAGGAAAAAGAAGAACCAGAGCTGTGGACTCCTAGGAGGAGCGAGCTCCAAAGTACAAACGTGCATAGACTGTTATTGAACCAATTGGTGGGTAACAGCCAGGCTAGGTTGTCCCGGGCAGAAGTGAGAAAGTCAAAGGAGAGCTTTCACTGAATCTACCTGAATTGGGGGGGGGGGAGCTCTCTGCTACTTAGTGACTTTGCCTGACCATCCTGCTGGCTCCTCTCACTATGAGTATAAAGAGAGACAGGAGATATGGTGCCCTTGCACCACGTGCACAAGCAGCAAAAAATATGGTGGCTATTTAAGGGCTTGCAACCCACTGAGGCTTCCAACCCCTGCACTGAAGATCACTGATGTACATGAACAGAACAGAACAGCTGCCCTCCATCTGAAAACCCAGGGATGAAGAAATATCATAGGAACCCTGAAATGAAAAGTAAACATAATGATCTCATCCAATCTACATACCAATTTGCCAAATGTAAAACTTCCACTGGAATGAAGCCTGATGATGTAAAACCTCTTTGATTTACAGAACCAATATCCACTTTGAACAATTTGTAAAGTTAAGCTGCACGAAACACTCCAAAATAATGTTCTGATCCCCAGGGAATGGCTTTTAGAGTAATTCTCAGGCCTGCATACTGCCCAGAATGTTTTATTATAATGGATTATCAATGCACCTTGCTCAAAGGTAGTCTTGCACACTGGTTAAATTCTTGTACCAGCAAATGAAATCTGTCCAATTCACAATTTTTATATATATGCATCACCTATGCCCCAAAAGGATCCTCCCTATGCAAAATGAAAACCAATCTGAACTGAGTCCAGTATGCACATGGCCTTATGATCCCACAACAAAGACAAAAAAAAAATTGTAATATTTTTAATATCTATATATGAAAAGGGAAGATAGTTTTCCAAAGACCCCAAATCACAGTAAAATTCTAGTATGAAGAAGAGTTTGACCCAAACTCTGCATATCTGGACCTCATAATTAAGGAGCTGACAGAGCAGCTTCTTAACAGAAAGAAAGATCATGTCACTGTGATGCATGCCACAGTAACATCTATATTAGATTACTGCTATATGCTCTAC